AAATGTTTTGAAAAGGAGAATTAAAAAGCATTTAATGACTATTGGAAGTGATCTTTATGTATTTGTATATCCATTACTCCACAAGTGAAAGCTTATACTAGATTCATTGAAAAGTATGTAACATGTAGAAGGAAGGAAAATCTGTCCGTTGGTATAAACGTCGAGATTTCGGAAACTATAGAAGCTAGAAAGTAACGAGTATCAGATAGTCGGGAAACGCGACTATAACGTCCTCTCTTTATGTTACCGGGAAATTAAAGGAAATTCAGTCTTCGAAAAGTATAAGCTATATATCTATGCTGAGCTGCATGATAAATCCCACCATTAGATTCTGATCTAACAAGAAACTAGATCAAATATTGTTCATGGGATCGCGATCGGCCAACTGGCCTTTTGAAATTTAATAAGGTTTATCTCGGAACGCCTTTGATAGAATTGCATAGTTTACTAGGTTGGTAAATGCTCGGCAAACACATGCCGGGCTAAAATAGGCCATAATAGGTGCTTTATGACTTTTTAAACTCTGTGTAAATATTGCAACCGGAAGGCGGCTATAAAGCTCAGGCAACAGCTGCCGTGTGTAAACACATACGCCCCACCCGATTTTCAGTTAATTAAAAAGACCAGGCGTTGCAGAACCGCCGCGAAAGTGGTCCATTTGGGCTTCAGCCCTCCCAGATTTGATCGGCAAACACTGCGGCTGGCTAATTGGCTTCCCCAAAAGCGATCCACATTCCGCCGCCACCTTCACGGCGATGGTGATAGTTCATTTCTTAATTGTTCTGCCGCCACCGCCACCGCCGCAGTCACGGACCACAATCTCGGGCTGGAGATAAAAACGTATCCGGTGGATAATCGTTAGGAGGAGACCAGCGCCATCGTCGAAATTGTGTTTGCTTCCCGCCGCGATGTTTTCAAAAACAAATATGAGAACTTATTAACTCTGTACTTCAAAGGAAACTGATGCGCGCGGTTCCCCAATTCGGCATGACAATCAATATGTGGCACAAATGGGTGTTCGAAACCCAACGCGTTTCCCTCGCATAGCTGCAAGATCCAAAACGGCGACAATAAGGCTTCATTGAAGTGTTCCTTGCTCGGAGCTCCGGGCACTTGAGATCCCCAATTTAGGTTCAGATTTGGCACTGTCGGGCCCTCTAAGTACTTATTGCCTACTGATTGCGCTGGCATTGCGTAGGGAATCTTACACAGCCCCGGGAAAACCCACTTAATTACTAGTAACACAATTTGGGTTTGGCTTGTTCGGCAGTAAAATTTGCATAACGCCAGATTCCGTCGATTTCCTTCGATTTTTTCCTATAAACAATAAGCCATATTGCCCAACCACTCCCCTACACTTGCCGAGCCGACTCCTCGCCCCAAGCCGTTCTCTGTCTCGAATGTTGTGGCAAAATTATGTAGCACGTCCAGTGCTGAATATGTTTAAAAATTATTATGCACGACAAGTTACATGCATCACCCTGCGCCTGCTGAATTTCTGCGGCCACACCGCTGCTTTCCGCAACTCGACCAGCGAATGCCATAAAATCAAGGCACAACCAAGAAGGCGGTAGGTCCATAGAAGGGTGATGGTCTCTCGCCATGAGGAGGGGATTTTCGGCTTGGCCTGCCAGTTGTGGCCAACACACACGGGCACACACGGACACTCACGGACACTCACGAATGCAACGCTCCAGCGGCCATCGAAGCCAGGCAACCTGTTGCACGTCCGACGCACTCTCTTCTGCACATACATACGTCTTTCGTAATGCATTTCATTAGGGGCGCAGGCGACCAACAAATTGTCGCTTCCCGATAATCGAGGAGTTGATGCCGACCTGAAATAAGAACGAACTGCAGAATGTGTCTGGATACCAGAACAAGGCAAGCTTAAGAGTTTCGGGTGAGCATTACAATATGAAATGTTTAGAGCCCTGGCGCGAGGTCCGTACCTAAATTACATCGTGAAAAATGCGTCCATACGGATAGAACTCAGTTCTCAATTCAATTATTTGAATTCGAATTTTTTTTTTTTTTTTTTTTTTTTTTACAATCTGTCTTAAGCAAGTAAGACAATAAGTAAATTTTATAGAATTCGAATTATGACTTCTTTTCTATTACTTCAATTGATTTTCCTATGGTAGCTATAGAGCACTGTTAGAAAACTGGTGAGTAACGAATGTCTCCCACTGTTTCTATGGCAACTATTTGATATAGTAATCCCATTTCGCATTACCTAAAACAGAATTCATATATGGTCAAAAAATTAGTGGACGAGCTAAACTCAACACTGCTAAACTGGTCCCATTTTTAATCGAATATTCCTGTGACACCTATACAACCAGTGTACCTGCAATATAAAGAAGACTTTTGGGAAAGTTTCTTGCGAAAAGCTTTTACGCCAAACGGTCCGCTTGCGTTGCAAAAAATTGCGGACAGACGGATATCGCCATATCGATTCGGCTGTTAATAAAAGATATAACACAAAGTATATAATATACGAGTATATTTGTATTTGGTCGCCTATATCCATTACTGCCTTGCAAGCTTCTGATTGAAATCAAAATACCCCCTGCAAGGGTATTAAAGGAGCTTCGCAGATGTGAAAGCACAGAAGAAACCATGATGAACGTAATCACGGCATAATTCCACAAACCGATTTCGACCACTCAGCGGGGTGGTCTGCTCCTCATCCCTCGGCCCAGAATTTGCACTTTAGCCTGCCGCCTCAGTCCGATAATGCCGAAAGCCAAGGTGACGATTCGGAGAATGGAAAACTGGGCCCTGTCCGTCGCATTGTTTCGCTGGCTTTGTTCGAGTCAAGTGTGGACAGGGGTATCTACATATGTACAGACGGGAGATGGGAGACGGGAGACGGGGTGCTCTAGTGGCCGGGTGGGTGGCGTGGCGGTCGCACGACGTTTGTCGCTGTCAATTAAAGCTGCAACACAGCAGGAACTGGAACTTGTTGCACAAGCAGCACTCTCTACTGCAGTTGCCTTTACAATTGCAGTTGCAGTTGCAGTTGCGGTTGGCGATGACTGTGCCACTTTTCTATGGCACGGTGGCACTTTCTGATACTCTCCGCCGCTGCAGCGTCTGCTCCTGCTGCTCCTGCTGCTCCTGCTGCTCCTCCTGTCTCTCCAGTCCACCACTCCCGGGAAATCGAAAACCTTCGTCCTCCAGTGCGAGGAACCATTCCGCTTCGCGCCTTGGATCACGGCAGCTGCATTGTCTGCTGTTGACCAACTTTGGTGACAGTCCAACTGGGCTCGTTTCCCTTTCTGATATCGGTTTTCTGTCAATGATACGTTGACAGCCTCTGCACCAACTGAACGCAGCTTTTAATGCCTGAAAGGAGAAGCATGACTTTGGGACGGGCTTTCAAACAGACAATATGCCATTCGGATAATGTGGGCAAATTTGAAATTTCGAATTCCTGGGTAGGGTATTTATTTTTGTAACTAGAAGAGCACAGTTTATATATTTTTCTCTTGGATCGCTAATTCTGGCTTGCAGCTTGAGCTACTCCTCTCCTCGTCGTGCCACACGCACTTATTGCAGCACCCGACATTGGGAGAGGGTATCTGCTCGATGCAGCAAACCAGACGAGATCACCATCATCCTCCACATGATATAGAGGCAGCTGGCGATCCGAGGCCTGCCAATGGTGATATCCCAAGGGCCCGGAATGCTCCATGCCAACTGTGTGGGCCATGGGGGCAAGTGGTGGCTACGATGGCAGCATTTGCTCAGCCACGTCAAGTTCCTCTGGTTACCAGCCTTCTTCACTCGGTTCGGTGCGTTGATTCGTTGTAATTCACGCGGTCCTGGTGCCTCTCCCCCGCAGGAAAACGTTCGAAGTGCGATTCGTTCGAAGGTATGTATCTGTATCTGGCCACGGTACAGCTCCCATTTTATTGCTGCCACTGACAGCGACCTAAGGATGACGATAATGATGTTTGTCCCAGTTGATCTAAGCCGTCCCTCTCCTTAGTTTCATCGCATGCTCGCACAGAGCAAACAAAGTCTTTACCTGGGCAGCAATCTTCCATAAATTAGCATTTAGTAAATTGATTAAATTCCTTATTTAGAATTAGGCCCAATGAGTGGTCCACACTCATTTTGGGTGTCATGTGTGCCAGAGCCTTCCGGTCATCCGAAAGTTCCAAGTCCCCCAATCAAGTACCAAGCCAATAGTATGTTTTGCATTTTTTCGCGCATTTTACGATTAATTTTATTTTATTGATTGATTCATTATTACTACACACTGGTAAATGCGAGATTGCAGCGATTAGTGAGTGCTTAAAATATTCATATGGTAGAACTTATGCCTATAAACTAGATAGCAGACTGAAAAAATACTTTTCCCGAGAAACAACATTTTAAATCAGAGACGATTTCAAGATACCAGGATTTGATTATATTTTAGATTATATTTAGAAAAAAAACTTTTCCCGACAACACTTTTTCCGAAACAACATTTTAAATCAGAGATGATTTCAAGAAACCAGGATTAGATTAATAAGTTAATCGCCTCTTCAGCCTCGACTTTTAGATACCTGTTACTCAGCTAGTGGGATTGCGAACGAGATGTTTCACCCTTAGATGGGTTGAAAATATATGGCCCAGTGGACCAAAACTCGATTAGAAAGCCATAGGGACAATGGGACAAAGGCAAAATAAAAAGGCCCGACTCATCGCACACCAAAAATAATATTTTCTTCCCATTATATGGAACTTTACGTTCATTAAGATGGTTCACCCCTAATCATTAATATTAGTACTTCATTCAAATAATTTTATATTAAGTAAACTTTGGTTTTAACTTAGAAATATGTCCCCTTCTGTAGAGGGTGTAGTATATAGCGCACTTCACCAATCTAATCAAATGACTCCCTAGACCGGTGGAGCAGCTCGAATCACCTCTCCTCGACGCAGCTTCGTCCGAGCGTCTGTTTATACCACAAATCAAATGGGAAGAAGGATGAGAAATGGAATCACGACTGTCTCCGTTTCTGTGCGTGCCAGTGCTCCATCTCTTTCTCAGACGAGGCCTCATCTCCCGACTCTCTCCCACTCGAAAGGTGGACCGGCAGATCCATCCGCTGCAGGGCGTCGAGCAGCAGCGTCATAATCACACGCCTGCATTTGGTGTGTGGAGGGGCGCTTGAGTGGTGGGGAGGGTCCTCGGAGGTTCCTCGGAGGTTCCTGGGGGCTTGGAGCTTTGGAGCCCTCCTCCAACTCCTCAATAATTATTAAGAGAAATAAATTGTGTATGATTGCTTGATTGGCGATTTATTGACTCACATTATTGGAAGCTGCCGCGCTATCATCCTGTGCCCAAGCGCATCTATAGAGCCGGGGTCCGGCATCTGAGCGCGACTGCATCCATGAGTATTCCTAAGCGATGCGGGCCTGACAGAGTATTTATTACCAAATGCGTATAATAATTCTCCTTTTCCTTTGACAATGCAAAAAACGGGCAGGATGGAATGGGATAATGATTGAAATGGCAAATGTTTTTTAAGACCGGAAGCTTTTAGAACGCTGAGATTGAGGGGAGTGCCCTTTAGTTTTGATAATAAGAGACGATTATAATATCAGCTTTGGTAAATTTTTTTATTTTGAATACCCAAAATGTTTCTACTATATTCATTTAAAATCTTATTCTAATTAAAATTTGTTTATTTGTAATTACAAAATAAATGTAATTCGCTGGAGTTCGCCCAGTTCCATGATAGCCCAAAGCAATTTATTGCGATTGTTGGCAATTTTTCCAGTCTACTTATTCTTGCTCTATCCTATGGATAACCATATCCCGAGTCCATTGCAATAATTCGAAATGCCTTTACAAACAATTCTTCTCAAACAGTGCATTTCATCTAATTTTTAAAATTCAATCCTTTTCCAAGTTTATTTGAATTCTGGTGTTCCTCAAGGGAGTCATCTGGACCACGGATGATGTAAAACTGTGCCATTAACAAACTGTGATTCCCATGTGAGATTAACACAGCACTAAGTGACTTATGTTGGCAAAAATGAGCTAGTTTTGGAAATAAATAAATTTAAAAACTATTATCTAGCTAGGCTAAAAGAAAAAAAGCGAATTCGATTTTAATGAAAATCAATTGTTCTGATAAAGTTGAGACAACACACAACAACATTTTATTTTACTGGTCTTGGGGGCGAACTGAACCTCAAATGGAGAAAAACACGAAAAAGAAATGGGAGATATCCGTAGAAACAAGGCATTAACACGTACATAATTCAATGGGTAAAAACAAAAGCACATCCAACTTTTTTACTGACGCCAAGGATGGAATATTCTTTTGTGCGAGTGTATGTGTTGCTTCATAGCCACATTTTCCATCAACCCCTACTTTCACCCAGGAATATAATTTTGATGTGTTCTGTTATCTAGTCAGCAGAAGAAATGACCCGGGAGATGCATCTAAGGGTAATAAATTAACCCCGATATTGAAGAAAGGTTCTGAAAAGGAAGAAGGCGCAGAGAACTGTCAACAAATAAAGTGTGTGGTTCCAAATTCAAAGGCTGTAACTCTGAGAGACAACAAGAGATACACGATGTACGTTCCTGTATCTCGCGCTTGACTTTATGTGCGTGTGTGTGGGAAACGCAATTTCAACTTTCCAATGATGCGGCGATAAATCAAGGATAATCTACTTTTCAGGATCATAATTTTTGTGTGAATTGACAGTCAGGCAGTGACAAAAAGAAAGCCAATTGACAGATTTATGTGTACGCACTAACACACGCGTACGCGTTGCACAGTACGATACGAAGGAATATAGAACAGGCTGAAAGGACATCGTCGATAACAGCGATATCAATTTCACATAAAACTCACGCCGGATCTGGATGACAATGACGAGTTCCCCCGTTTTTGGATTCAATTTCTGCTTTCATTGCTTTGAATGGCTTGTGGGCATTAGAGTAGACGTACATTTTTGTACATTTTTGATATTGCATTTTCTTAGTTAAATAAAATTAATTTTTTGTCACAAAAGTTAATATCAGAACTTTTGTAAGTTGCAGGTGTGTTCGTCACAAGTTTTTAACTCGTTAAGAGGCGTTTTTGTCCACGTAGTGACAGACTGCCATCCACAGGCATATTTGTACATATACCCCGATCGAATTTCTAACTTGGGTGCTTTCATAACATTAAAGAAAAGCCTCCTGGTACATATTTAGCTGGGATGGTGGATGCCTTATTTCCACATTAAATGTCAGCTGGGCAAGCAATGTTGCGGCCATCTTTAGTTTTCTGGATTAGCCATGAGGGTTGCCCAGCACTTCGAGTGTGTCCCACGTCTCCGCTCGCTTGTCTGTCCATTTATGGGCGTCATTAAATCATTCTATCAATCCCAAAACCCACAAGCACCCACTGGGAAGACCACCCCTCCCGACCACCATTTGTCATTAATCGTTGCAATGCCTTAATGGCATTAAAAAGTCGCAATTATATTTTAATGCGATCCCATAGACCAGAAGAAAAACGGATGTTATTCGTTTTCAGGGTGACTGTAAGTCGTTTCCCAATGGCGTCCACCAGTTAGGATTTAGTTAATTGCTTTCAAACTTTCAGAAAGTTTAATGAAAGAATTGTCTTACTTTGTTCTGGTAATTAGTTTAAATACAATGACAATTAAAAATCATCAAATTATGTCATCGTAACTGTATTCCTTTTCTCTTGTCCTTAATTTAACAATAAAACAATAAAAAATAAAAATAATTAATGTTCAAGTTTAATACATTTGTTTAAACTCTACTCCGCAAGTAATATTGTGATGGACACCATAGTAAGACCCCTAGTATTTGTTTATAATAAATAAAGTTTTTTTTAATGGAATATTTGTTCATTAATAATAAAATAATAATAATAATAATAATAACAATAACAATAATAATAATAATAAGAAGAATAAGAATAAGAAGAATAAGAAGAAGAATAATAAGAAGAATAATAATAAGAATAAGAATAATAAGAATAATAATAAGAAGAATAATAATAATAAGAATAATAAGAATAATAAGAATAATAATAATAATAATAATAATAATAAGAATAATAATAATAATAATAATAATAATAATAATAATAATAATAATAATAATAATAATAATAATAATAATAATAATAATAATAATAATAATAATAATAATAATAATAATAATAATAATAATAATAATAATAATAATAATAATAATAATAATAATAATAATAATAATAATAATAACAATAATAATAATAATAATAATAATAATAATAATAATAATAATTTTATTTGAATAAGATTTTCTCTACTAACTGATTCCCGTTACTCAGCTATTAGGATTCCAAACGAGAAATATCGATAGAATTTCGCATAACAAGTAAAAATGGAAAATATTATATTAACAAAATATTAACAAAAGTTTTCAAAATTGGGGGCGTGGCAGTTTTGACCTTTTTTCGGAGTTAGAGTGGGCTTGCCCAAAATGTTTTTTTGTATACCGCTACAAATTGGACAAACAAATAATAAAACTAAAAACATTTAAGACTTTTGCGACCTAAACTTAATGTGATGGCGTAACGACTTTCAGTGGTTTGTGGGCGTTAGAGTATGCGCCGAAAATATGTTTTGGCATACCGATAGAAATGAACAAGACAAACAATAACATGAAAAAAATCAAAAGAATTTCAAAGATGTGGACGTGGCAGTTTTGTGCTGCCACTATATTTCCGAAATCAACATGCATGTTCTTAACTTTTTAGGTTTTATAGTTCCTGAGATATCGACGTGCATACAGACGGACAGACAAACGGACATGGCCAGATCGACTTAGCTAGTGATCCTGATTAGGAATATATGTACATATATGCTCTATAGGGTCGGAAATTCTTGTTTCTACCTGTCACATACTTTTACTCTACGAGTAATGATATATATTTTTTCGCCTATGCATAGATTGTTTCTAAAATTACGCACTCTTAATCGTTCCTAAAAAAATATTGTTATACCTTTAAAGTTTTTATGTCGGCGAAATGTTTTCCTAGTTTTTTAAAACTATTATGACTTGCCTGCTTTCTGGCGGAGTTATGCCACAGAATGGCATTCAATAGTGTCTTATTTATATAATATTATTATATATATATATATATTATTATATATTATTCTCATCTCGCCGTTAAACTGCCATAGAAGTCCCATGGCTGTGTTCACGAAAGTTACAGAATATAAATATATAGTTAAGGCCCATGCCAGAGACTATCTTACGAAATGTAACCCCTTTTAGTTAGATTTATGATGGGCGGAATTGAAATCGCTTTAGGGAATGACAGCAGGAAGAAGGAGAAAACAGAGCAAGGGAGGCAGACGGAATCGAAAGCAACTAATCAAGTTTTGACAGTGGAAATCCACCTCGGGAGCCAGCTGAGTTCTGTTTTATGGGCGACCACATTAGTTGAGGATGGCGGTGCCACGGCTTCATCTTAATAAAGTGCCTCCGTATCCAAAAATTAACATACACTCGCTTATCCCGCATCCCTCCATAAAACAATGTCCCGCCATTCAAAGTAAAAAGAAGAAAAAATGTCAAAATTTGAATGATTTACGCGAGGGCGAACTGAGCGAGCTCAATCGAAAATAGAGCACCAAATGAGTACTGAGTTAACCTCGAAAATATGTGCGTTCGTGATGGAGGACTGAAAGATAAGAAAGTTGAAAGTAGCCGTGAAAGTAGACGAATGAGACCCTTGGTGGTGACAAAGACGTAGCTGACCCGGCTTCGAGCACATGCTGCGCTTTCCTTTGCGCTCTCTGTACACAGGACACCCCGCAGGAGCGCTGATGCAACGCTCGAGTCACGGGGTCTGGCTAAAAGGACCAAACGGCCAAGGGCCAGGAGGACGACATAAATCACGGGGCCCGGCTAATTTGCCAGAACGAAATCGAATGCGCCGCATCCGTCAAACACTTTAGCGCAGGCGCGCAGCTGCCGAGCCAGGAAGAAATATGAAAATTGAAAATTATGAAATTACGAGAGCTACACGAGAGGGCAGCAAGGAGTGCCCCTTTTCTAGATTTACGGCCTTGACAGCCCATCGGGGTACCATTTTAAACGCGATCTCTAATGCACTGGAACGACGGCCAACCGGCAGCGACTTTTATCTTTCCAAGAATGTCTAAAAAGACAATATTAAGAGAATGGAGGAGAGTTTTTAATATTTTTATGATGTACATTTCCGTTTTGCAGTTGTCTTTTTAAGGTGACTGACTGGATTTTCTGAATCCCCCGCTGAAGATTTATGTGTTTCATCGATTGTTCAAGAAATAGAAATTTTTCCGTTCCTTCGGTTTTTCCCTTTGGTGGAAAGTCAATTATCAAATTTATGGTTTTCAGTCCATGAGATTTCCTCAGCGGCTCTTTCTTTTTCAATTCGAGATTCGTTCGTTCCCACAACTAGTGTATGATTTGCTGCATGTGTATGAGCTTTGTTCAACGGCATCTGTTCTCTTGTAGTTTGTGTGTAATTATCATTAGTTATTAGCCATATATTTTGATTATTCAGCGTGGCCACTAATAGCTCTGAGACATTCGAACTCATGGTTTTAAATGAAGTTTTTTGGGATTTTGGGAATTAAGTGTTCCTTCGTGGGTTCTTGCAATAGAGATGAATAATTACGTTTTTGATACTATCAATTTAATAATTTTTATAATACTTTATAATTTTAATAATGTTTAAATGTGTACATGTTCATTTTTGTACATGCTGTTATCTCTAAGCGAGATTTTCTTAGGACTATTAGTAACCACTATTAGTTACAAACATGTATTTCAAATAATTTGCCAAGTTTATGTTGTGGTCTAATACCTCACTGTGCTTTGCTTATTCCAATAATTTATTTGAAAGTCCTCCGTAAAGCGAATTTTCACTGGCTTTTTTTAAATGGCTATGGATATCTCAAGGACTACGGAGACTGAGTTAACTCTCAAAGTCATTTGAACCGTTTTAAACAAAAAAAGCTTAGTTCAACTATAATTTTTTAATATGTAATTCCTCAACTTTCTAATTGTATAAATAAGTGTCGAAAGCCCGTGATGATTATTTTTAAAGTTAATACTTACACTTTTACCCTTGTTTTACCGATATAATTTGTTCAAACTATGTAACCTCTTGACCTTCTGCGTTAACATTCGATTGGTGCATCACTAAAAAAAATCGGACAACTACAGCAGACTTTCATTTCTTAGTGTATACATAGTGGACATCTTCGCACACTCCCCTGGTGGGCTTCGTCACTATGTGGACTACCGTCAACACTGTGCACAGCGATTAAAGTGTTTTTGCAATCAGGCTCTCTCAGCCTTAACGAGATCAATATTTGTACAAAAACTTTCCCAATTTTCTAGAATTCAAAACTCTTTCAATGTATCAATAACCTAGAAATACCCACACTTTGCAAATGGCTGCGGAATATTTCATTTACTGTTGCTTTCGTCAAAATGAAAAGCAGAAAACTTTTTAATGAAAACCCGCATCGGAGAGAGCACACAGACACACAAGCACACTCACACTTTGACGATTCCATCATGGCCGACAACGACTGTCTGAGTACGACGACGAAAATGACGATGAAGGAAGAAGCGACAGGCTGTCAGCCAGAATATCGAAGGACCCAAGAGGCAGAGCAATGGCCACGCAGCATGTTCGAACTCGTCTCGCTCTCTATCCCTGTCTCTCTTTCTGTCGCCGTCAGTCGCCCAATCTTTCCTCTCAGTCTTCTCCGTTTGCCTTGGCTGTGAATTTCATCCACCATTCAAACTCGAGTTTTTGGCAAACACTTCTTTCGGGGTTCGAGAAAACGACCCTTATTCCCCCGGTCGGGCGGGTAGTCATAATTCTTTTTTTACTTTCTGACACGTATAAATCACTCAATTGTATAAAATTAAACGCAAAAAGGACGTCGCCGACACTGCCAAAACCCAGAAAAAGGGCGGACGGCCAAAATGGCAGTCAGTTAAGTCAGGCTCTCAGTTATTTAGGGCTGTTCGCTTTGAATAAAATAATTCCGATTCGTGCGACCGAATAAATCAGTAGATTGGACACAGATATCTTAAAAATAATATCCTGTTCTCTCCTGCTCTTCTTTTTTTCCACAACGCCTGAGTGTCCTTCGATGTGGCTTTAGATATGGCTCTGGCCGTTTGTATCCACATATGTATGTACCTCGGCCGTTTGGCTTCAAATCGCCACCGTAATTTCGCCGGTTATTGTACACATGAGTACATGATGAGTACACATCAAAATAACAGTTTATTAGTTTTAGCTAAGTTTTAATCCACGACTACCAATTTTTTAATTACTATTATAAGGGGTATAAAACAAAATAATTTTTTATTTCTGAACAAATCTGCATATATCCCCAAATAATTGATATCAATTATTATGTTTTCTGAAACCACCAAGCTGCGGCAAAGCCCCATTAAGGATAATTCAATAACAATCAAGGAAGCTATATATTTCAAATAAAATTGGGTTATACCGAATAAGAACTTTTTATTATTTAAGACAGCGACGTCTTTCTAATAATTTCAATTAATTTTCCGACTCTTCCTGGGACAGCTCCATGTCCGATCTTGATCAATTTAAAACCTTAATTAGATATCGTCAAGAAACTGGTGCACCGAACTCTAAACAAAATTTTTTCACATTTGTTTTCCGAATATTTCTATGGAAACTGTAAGATCTAGTGGTCCAAACTTGCCCGTTGTGACATACATATGTACATGCAATAGAAAGAAGGCAGTTTTGGGCGTTAGAGTAGGCGTGGACAAAACGATTTTGGTACATCAATACAAATTAGCAAGACAATCAATAAAATTAAATTAAAATCAAAACCTATCAAAAGTGGGCGGCTTATGGGCGTGGCATGGTTCTGAATCTTACGCTGCTTAGTCATCACCAGAATCTGCTTACATGTTTGTATAGTTTGTTTTATAGTTTTATAGTTCCCGAGATCTCTACGTTTATACGGACAGACAGATAGACATGGCTGAAAGTCTGCGTTCTACCTGTTACATACTTGTCAAGGAATCAACATACTCTTTTACTCTATGAGTAACGGATATAATATTATGCTAAAAACAAATGGAGTATTTTATTTAGAATGCGACATTTTGATGTGCCTCACTCTGATTCCTATGATAAATAAGGCTATAATATAAGATCATTTTGATCTCCTCAAGTCTTCTTGGCCTGTTTGTAAGTCTTATAATTATGGCATACAATATTTACTGCCTTTTTAGTCATTTTGTGCACTTCCATCTTATGGGTGGTTGCTGCTTAGCAGCCATTCCATCCCAATCTGAAATTCTAAATAGCGCTATGCTGCGGCCATCACACGGTCTAATAATTTGATTTGTGATCTTTGATAGCGTGTATGAAATATGGAAACGGAGCATGTGTCCTGGGGAAGGGAATGTCCTTACTGCTGCGCTGGCGTCGTGTCATCGTCATCAGCATTAAAACGAGCGCTGCGTGTTTTCGTTCATTTCCAACTCCAATCTGCAACCACCTCCTGATGTCGCATTTACAACCCTTAGCGCGCATAAATTACTTTTATTACCTGTCAGGGGTATTTGTACTCTCCGCCACTTCGTTCCACCGCTCTCCTCTGACCCTTGTTTTTTCTCATTTGGTTTTTAGCCATATTTTAATTGCGTATCGTACCATAACTATTTTGCACTTTCTGACAGCAGATTGAAGATATTTATTAATATTAGATGCGACAGACACACACATATTTACCATTGGACCCTGTCCTGTCCCGATCCCATTCCAAATCTGTCTGCCTGTGAATGTTGCCCCACAACAGTCGCATAATTCCGGTTCCATTAATTCTATTTTATTGCGTCACAGATTTTTAGATGATTCTACCGCTATAAATGCGACTATCTTTCGGTTTCCCCTTTTTGCCGTTATTATTTTACTGGCCATTGTTTTTGCCCGTTTCGTTGCTGTTTTGTTTGCTGCACTTCCATATTTCATGTCATTTAAAGATGTGTAACCAAATTAAGCCATTTTTTCTGGCCCTTTTCAGAGCCATCATCACTTACAGTGTACGTATGTACATATGTACATGGCTTACGCATAACGGCTAGTCGAAGGGCGAATGGAACGGCAATGCTAGTCAACCTCTTTGTTATAATCGATAATAAAATATGAAAAAATCCTCTTCTTATCCGAAAAACTCGTATTCCTCTCGAAAAGCATTCGGCTGCCTAATCTGAGAAACTCTGCACGAAAACTCATCCTACAAAATAAAGTGGCCCAGGCCACTGCATTTAAACTGGCAGCGGTAATGAAGTGGTCTCCCCTTTATCGCTGATTTAATATAGCTATTAATAAGTCTTTTGTAGCATCCCCCACCAAAAAATTAACCTTGAGCGAATAGATGGGGACGTGCAAAGATGCCAGATACAAATAAAAATCCTTTATACATAAAAGGAACTGATTTACCTGCGATCACAGTGACAAGTTAATTTTATCTGGAACTCCCCACCATTGGCAGGCTGCAAGTCCCATTGGGATTTTCTGAATCTTCGGTGTTCCTTTCTCTGGCGCACCTCCATCATCAGCTTCATCTTCATCTTGTGGGCTCTCTGCATATGGCGCGGTCTGAAGGGACTTTGATAAATACCATGACAAATTCAAAACTGTCAGACGTCGTTTTTCAAATCGTAATTGCATTATTATCGAATATACCGACGAGGGAGAGGAGAAAGGAACGAAGGAGAGGATGAGTTGAAGGAGGGGAAATGGAAATGAAATGATGATGGGAACAATTGCCGCATTAATCTCACAAAATGTCGTCCAGAAGAACCTGGAAAGCAAGATGTCGATCCAACATGTGTTTGGCATAGGACTTTCCGAGCCTTCTTGGTTTTCTCTTTTGAATAATTGAAATGTCAGATGTCTGAATGGTGAAACTATGAGGGGAGCTAGGTGGAGTGAGGGAAAAAGTTGCTGAGTGTTCACTCAATAGAGGAGAAACAGGTAGAAGTATTCCCTCTACCGTTTATGCAGTAGAAAAATATATTTAAATATTTCCAAGGAATGGCTACAAAAGAAAACAACTAATTTTCATTTAACGACAGAATTTGATTTAATAAACATTTTGAGATACCACAAAGTCAGGAGTATTGGTCGAGTTACTAAAACTAAATAAACTTTAATATCTGGCACTAACAAGAAAAGTGGGAGTTGAGATATTTACATGCCCAATATGCGCTATCCGAAACCTAAAGAATAATCGTGGTTCATTTTCAAATGAACTCCTGCCCCGCATAAACGTAAGTCTTCATCATCTGCAGTGTTGCAACCGCGGCTTGGCTACTTTTAACGAAAGAGGCAAGATTAATTGCGCGTGGAAACTTCTAATTAAATAAAATCGTGCTCGGCACTCAAATTGTCAGAGACAACTTGTCACCCCCTCTTAAATATGTGTGGATGGGTTCGAGCCTTTAGGTTTTAACCATCTGAAAAAAGTTTCTTTATGTGACTCAATTATGGAGGTATAAGGGCAGATAAATTCCAAAAATACAGATACGCGAGTACAGATGCAAATATAGCTACAGCTTCGTACATATGTATAGGTATATACACGTTGCAAGTAGCCGAGCTAGATGGTTGCCATTTTGTGTGAGCGAGGTTGCAAGTGGAAATCCTTTTGGCCGAAAGGAGGCAGCAACCGACCTGATTGGTCTTTGCTCTGGCCAGATTCCGTCAGCAGCACAGCAACAGCGTCCAAGAGGCAACAACTTCGGGGCAAACGAAAACGAAAAGTTGCTGAGACATGAAGTTGACAGCTCAATGCGCTCCAAAAAAAACTCAACCTGAAGTCTGAGCCCGAACACAGCAGACGGAGAGGGACACCAGCACCCAGTGCGAAAGGGAGAGCAGGAGATGCACTAACACACATGCACACGAGCATTACTAAGCGCACTTCAAAAAGTGCGAGTATCGGAGTTGAAACAATTGAGGACAATTGTTTAGCTTCACCTGCTGGGTTCGAATGGCCTGCCATACTTTCAGGTGAAAGTTATACATACATAGATGTACATGTATGTATATGTGCGCATCGCTTGTTCCTCGCTGTATACTAAGAAACACTAGAGCTGGTTTCATAATGGGAAACAAAGTCCGAATTAGAATATTTAATTAATATTTACTAATTAAATTAATTATTCCGATTACAGGTGCCGAGTCACGGGATAGGAGACCCCAATAAACGAGAGTAACACTACCGAAGAACTGCCATTTTAGTCAAGGGAGGCAAAATTGCGAATATTCGGTGCTCTTATTCATTTAACGTCAGCTGTTTCAGCTCGCAAAGCTAAACGAATCGCAAAACGAGCTTTTTCCCCTCCCCCTCCAACCAACTACACCCATGCCCTTTGCCAAACAAATCGACCCCTTAATGCACAAACAGAACCACCCACTCCCCCATCCCCATCCCCCACTTCCCCTTCTCGCATCGTTGAAGAAGAATCCATCAATTTTTATGGTGTCCCTCGGTCGACATTTTTGTCAATTTCGTTTTGCTGCGTGTCTCTGCGTTACTCTGTCTCTCCCATCCCTCTTCTCACAAGCTCTCTTTAAATGCAAATCGAAGCCCGTGTCACGCACACACAGAGAGCGTGTGCTGGTGTGCGTTGGTTCAACGATTCCACCCCTTTTCCTTTTGTTCTGTCCATCAAAAAAGCAGGGCCAAGAAGAGCAAGAAGAATAAGATGCAGCAACAACAAAATTCCGTACACTTGAGATGATGGTGCTGTTTTGGATAGTTGCTGTTATTAGTGCTTCCTCTGTCTCCGATGCATTTGTTTCTATTGCTGCCGCTCTTCTGGTTGTATTTTCTGTTAGTGTTGTTGCTATTGTTTCTGGTTCGTTCACGCTTTGCTGTTGTTTTACTGAATGATGTTGCTTTTGCTTAACTGTGCTGCACGCAGAGAAACGTATTATGAATACCGTATTATACCGAATAAAATCTTTGTACGTTGTTCAGGTGGGCCCCATAAGAAACTAAACGCCCAAGCTTAAATCACATCACAGTCCCACATTTGTATGTATTTTGTTTATCCCATGTCTTTTGATAATAGATAGTAAGTCATTTTTTCCAGTGCAAGTATCGCTGTCTCCGCCTGGGTTTGGTGACATTTGCGTCTGCTGCTCCCTCTCATCATTGATCCCTCTTTGCTGCTGATTCGTTGCTGCTACTTCTCGAAAGCGTCGCTTCGCCTTCATTCCAATTGCTGCTGTTTCGCTCTTCGCGTCTCCGTTGCTCGTGCCATTGTTGGTTGCCTTCCCTTCACTGGCATTCAGTACCCTCCTCCACTCGTAGATGCCAACCCGCCCTTTTCGAGAGCCATGGCAGTCGGCAGAAGACCCTAGCTGAATGGCAGCCCCTACAGCTCCTGATCCCACGCCCACCACTTGCCGCCAACCACTCTGACCCAGAGCGACCCCTTTCCACCCAAGGCCAGTCTCGCGAGCTGTTCCTTCCAATTTTTGGTTTATGTTTCCTTGCGGCTGGCTGGAGACGAAGCGCCGCAATTGCTGTGCAAGATCGGGTTGGGGAGCACTAAGAATGAAGGCTAGTTTAAGAAATGGCAAATCTCCCTCATTTTTATATGAAGCCAGGACTTGCTGCAACTTAATAGAAATGCATCCCAGCGGTTGAACAGTTATTGATGAAAATACCAACAAAACTAGGCACTAGATTGGGCCGTAAATGGTGACCCCGAGCGTTATTATATTGTGGAGGGTCTGTTTCGGTGCTTTGGAAATTTCTGAGTGAAACTGTTGTACTCTCTGTAAGCTTATAAATTGCCGAAATTGTAGTTGGAGAATCCTATTGACTGTTAGAGTGATTATAAAAGCGTTCAATTATCGATTTGAATTGCCCAAATGCATTTTCGTCCCTTCATCACATAACTGGTTAAATAACTGGTTAAATGGAAATATGTGCCGCTAGTACATATGTACATATTTAACGTAGAACAAGCCATTCCGTGGCATTTAGCCACTAGTACAGTACTCGCAGCTGTGGAGCAGCATAGCTAATTGAGTTGCCGCATAAACCACGCCATGCGTTTGGCTAATTTTCAAACACAATTTTCACTTAACTACACTTAACATAAATTAACTGGAAATCATTTCCTTCAAAATAATTCCGAGTTGCATTCGCGCACGAGGGCATCCCAGCAGGACCAAGAGCACTGCAGCCGGGACATACATAAGTGGTAATTGCCATTAACGCGGAATAATTTTTCGAAAAGGCAATAACAGAGACAATTTCCAGCACGCACGCATCGCGTAGCGAAGTGGCCCCCGATTCCCACTCCCCCATCCGGCCAGCTCGATTCGGCCAGGACACAAATTGCAGGACAATCATCAGCGTCGGCGGCAGAGAGCGTTGCCCATTAGCTGGCGCAACGCATAAAATGCACTGCAAAGAGGACCAAAGGATTTGAGGTCGACGAACGGGGCAGCGTAGCGGGGGAGTCGCAGTTGAAATCCACTCAAATGAATTTGTATTTGTTTTAGGAATAATTTTCACGCCGCGCTCGCTCACACAGAAAAGCAATCAAAAATTGTTGACCCAGGCGAGTAGACGGAAGGAGTCAGGTCCTTCTGCTGGATTTTTATGTAGTAATCAACATCGGATTGTGTCGGATGTTCGGAGTGCTGATATGCGTGTGGTTTCGATGTGGAGAGCCGTGACTGAGGGGTGTTCATCTGCAACCCACAGCCAGGGCTCGCGACACAGCAGTTTATGTTCCGTCCTGAGGCTTATGCAATTTGGTCGAAATGTTTTTCAACGCCTGTTAATTGGCGGCATCAATTCCGATAGCCAGTCAGCCACTCGTTGTAGACTGGAAGTGGAGAAAGCCATTGGGGGTTATAGATGGATGGAAGGGTATTTATGGGCGTTGGAGCCACAAGGATTATGCAGTAAGCTGGATTATATGAGGGCGATAAGCGTGACAGCTTCAATAGTTTCATATACATACTCGTGTATAATTGACTTCTACCAAGAGTGGGCGCGACAAAAGATAATGCTATATTCGCACAAGTAATGAGTACTTATGAGTTGCAATGAGTAGGGTAGCTAATGTAAGCATCATTTTATTAAAATATGTTTTCATTTTAAAAATTAACCCCCAGACCAGTTGAATCAGCTTTATTTTTGGGCGTCAAAGCGAAGGTTGAAAAAATGTAACTCAGTTTATAAAGTTTTGGATTGAAAGGCCAAGCTTGGTCATTGCCAGTAAATACGTACACAAATAATGCCACATATGTTCTGAAGTGTGTATGTACATCTGATTGCTCATGTACAATTGATTTGCTGTGTAATGGGTATCTTACAATCGAGGCCTTCGACTAAAATGTTCCTTTTTCCATTGGAATATTACTATATTATATTTTTCTTCATCCATAATTGGTTATGGTGCTTCCCATGACTATGCAGTTTTCTTGTTTGAACGGCACCCCCAACACCTACAAACACCGAGAAAAAGCTTCCTTCATTTGTGCTTATATGCAGCCATATAAGCCAGTTTTATTATATTTTCGGGGTTCAGTGAGA